TAGACCTAGACATAGACATGGAGATATAGACATAAACATACATATGTAGACGTAGACAAAGACATTTCATACTGGCAAAAGAGATGGCTGTAGCTTTGAGGTTAAAATAAAAGGATGGTTATATCACGACTTACACTAGTGAGTAGGCTTCATCCTGAAAGGGTTTTTAAATCACAAATTTGTTTTCTTATTTTTTTCTAGATTTTTGGGTGTTTTGTTTTGTTTTGATTCTTTTTTGGATTCTTTTTTTTTCCTTCTTCTTTTTCTATTCGTTTTCATTTTGTTTTGTTTGTTTGTTGTTGTTTCTTCTTTAAACGGTTTATTGGAGAAAGAAAGGGTCGAACTCAATCCCCCCACTCCGCTCTTGCTCCACTCCACGCGACCTCTATCTTTCTGTGCTTCTGATGAAGACCTGTGAATGTCATAACGTGTTATCTAATTATTTAAAACTACAATGGGAGAGCCTTCTCCTCCAGAGTGACCGAATGCTATTTTATATCCTTTCATTGGTGCCAATTTGCAAATAGATTAAATCATAAGCGTTGATGTAGGCCTGAACCCGTACAAACAAACCGGCGGCGGGTGAGCTCCACCCCTACCCCCACCCGGGGGTACTCCCTTATATGGGCTATATAGGCATGCACAAAGGGTGTGTTTTTTTAGCCGCTTTGTATATTATTTTGAGAAGAAGCTACTTTTTTCATCATTATCGATACGGCCATTGCCTTTAACATCGGTCTGAACTAGCAAACTAATTATAAAGCGAGTCTGAAACAGGGTTTGCTCTTGAATAGGGAATCGAATTTTTGGTCAGGTCATAAATAGGGAAAAATCGCCAATTTTGGTCTTAAATAAGAGTAAGGATTTTCGCACACCCCCACTCAAGTATTGGTGCCCAAGCCCTGATACTCCTAAAAAGATAAAAGCAAACAAATTCAATCTTCCGAAGAAGCTGCATGCCTTCAACCAGTGTCTTTCGCAAATTGAAGGAGTGGTAAGCCTGTGAACAAGATTTTACGAAAACGGGGCGCGCGTGGCCTGTAGGATGAAAAGATTTCATGATGCGTGACGAGTGGTAAAAACACAAGTAGTTCGTGACGCATGAAGTCTGTGAAAACATTGTGGTGAATTTATGAATTTATTTATCGGCGTAAAAATAAATAACAAACGTATCACAAAGAGGAGAGATTCAACACGTTTTGAAAACAAGCAAATGTCTTCACCTTGATATTATTTCAGGCTTTTAACGTAACCATTGTAACCATTCTGCTGCAGTTGGCGAACTAGCGATATTTTTGTGCCGATGTGTTGCGTGACCTACACTTCTATTTCAGACGTACAAACTACTGACGGGCATAATATATTTAATAGTATGCACATAGATCTTTTTATAGTACTTTAGCAAAGTTGCCCGATTATCCGTTTCGTGACTCACTTGGTTAATGAAAGCTAAAACGGCTTATTTAATCTGCAAATTGCTATGACCACCTATTCAGTTTTCGCGTCCTTGCTCTACTTCTTAGCGCTGTCATTCTTCCCTTTTCGTCGATACTCAGTCGCCTCCACGATCGTGACTACGACTTATGGACCTGTCAACGGGTCTGTGATATCACTGTCAACGAACAAGACTGTTATAACCTACCTCGGGATACCTTTTGCCAAAGCGGAACGTTTTGAATACCCGGTTCCGCCAGACGATTGGACTTCAACATTGCAAGCAAACAGGATTGACAAGATTTGTCCTCAGCCGAACCTGCGTCCTAACAAACTCCCTCTCATGAGCGAAGAATGCCTTCTGCTAAGTGTGTACGTCCCTGCTAATGCGAGAAGCAGTTCTGCTCTTCCAGTGATGTTGTGGATTCATGGTGGCGCCTTTATTTTGGGTGATACTTTAGGCTACGACGGCAGCGTGCTGGCAACTGAGGGAAATGTGATTGTCGTCACAGCTGCTTATCGTTTGGGAGTTTTTGGATTCTTGAGCTCGAACAGCGATAATCTCAAAGGAAACTA